GCTTTCGTTACTGCACGTCAAAGTCAAGGCCACAACACCGCGTACCTGCTCTTCCGACCTAACCGATGCCTGAACGTTTCCTGCACTCACAACTTCGGCTTCGTTTCTTTCCCTGCGTCGTCTCCTTCCGACTTCGTCTCCTACACTCACGGCTTCGTCTCCTTCCCTCATAGCTTCGTCTATTTCCCTCACGGTTTCGCCTCTAGTTCGCCTTTCAATTCTCACAGGAAGCCCTAATCCTATACGCGAATACACGACTCAATGCGGACGCCTCGTCCGCTTTTTTAATGGTTGATTTTAAGAAGGTAAGACCATTTGGATGAGGCGTACGCCTCACCCATAATTGCGCAATTGAGGCGCGCCTCACACAGGGTGAGGCGTGCGCCTCGAGGCGCTTTTGGACAGAATTGCGCAGAGGCGCGCCTCTTATTGCGCAATTTTAAACAGAGAATCCCTTATCCTCTCTCTACTTAAACTATGGACCCCATAGGAAGGGGGTGGAACCCACTAGGGGTTGAAAACAGCAGGCTTACGCCAGCCGTAAATAAGGGGCCGGCCCTAGTGTTGGGTGGGCTGGATTGGTCTCTCCTGGACCGATCTATCATATTATTTTTAAACTTCTAATGGTTTTTACTCTTCTGAACCCAAGGAAAAAATAATTATGTTTGTCCATTTATGGTATGATTCTATCTTAGCTTCCCTCCATCTTTGTCTTCCTCAATACTTTTTTTTTTTTGTTATTGAGTTTTTCGTTTTCTCTTGGTCTCCTCTAGCTAAAAGATAAATAAAGAGGATTTACATGCTTACTATTGAATTATGATATATTTGCATATCTAACATTTAATTATATATATCTACTTATATAACACTCTACTATTTAAATCACATTAAAACATATTTCACTTTAAATAAGTTAATATTTGTATATTTTTTTATGTGATTTAAAATTTTGAGCCTTGTATATATAAATAAATGATTTAGGTGTTAGATATGTAAATACATAAGAAATCAGTGGTATGTTTGTCAATATCTCCCCCACATGAAAAAAAAAAAGTTTATTATACTGTTTTGTCATAATCTCCATTCAAGGATCAGAATTGCTCAAAAAGGAAAATCATTGCCATATTGTTTCCTTTCTTGTGATT